CAAAACTCACAAGTTGGCAACCCTGTAAATCTATCTGATAAACTTTGCAGTGCTATTTTACTTTTGATTACTTTATTATAATTCTTTTTAGACCATAACTGAATAATGTTAGTAGACCTTCCTGAAATTAAAGCACTTTGTAGGCCTGTATAATGTGTATCTTTGTTTAATTGTCTATCTATTGTTTAAAAATATATATATATATATATATATATATATAGGGTATATATTTATTTATTTATATTGACATACTGATATACTGTATATATATATATATATATATATATATATATTGACATACTGACATACGTACATATCATCCTTGCCTGTAGAGAGGAGTTTTTTTCAGCATTCTATAAAATCAACAATAATGATAAATAATATTAAAGCAAACACAGCTATGGTATCGGAAAAGTATCGGTATCGGCTGATATCGGATCGGAAGTGAAAAAATGTGGATCGGTGCATCCTTAATCATAATGCAGTGACGCAATTAAAGCTTCTTAACATTAATAATTATTAATGTTGCTGCCTCATTAAATAGCTGTGCACTTAAAAGATGTCTCAATTTTTTAGTAGCCTTGGCTATATCTAAAATAATTATCTTTTTCATTTTTGTTATATTGTTTTTCATGAATGTATTTTACAACAATACAAAGAGCAATATGTTTTATTCACTAATCTAGTTTATAATAGCATTTTTGTCATAGATTATGATCATATATTTTGGGGATTTGTTGTTTATCTTTATAATGAAGCTGTCTGTATTTAAGTATATTGTGTTTAACACACACAAGAGTGATAATCAGTTTAACACACAGTTATAGAAATTCTACTTTCTTTAAAAAACACTGTACTGGTATTTACAATGTAGAATACTGCTGTTTAAATTGTTTTAACTTTAAACCTGTTGGTAGCTAGCTAGGTTTAAGTACTGAAGTACATGTATTTTCTTATATATATATATATATATATATATATATATATCGTCGCTGCCCGATGAAACTCACGTATGTCCAAAACGGTTACTTTTCAGGAAGTGAAAAAAACATGTAATTTCAAAAGCAGCTGAACGTAGCGTTGTCATGCTTGGCACAACATCTTTAAATGTAACCATATTCTTGCCAGTGTCATGATATAATCCACATTTGACCCAAAATCGAGTTTAAATGGACATACGCGCATATTGTACAGTAACGGTGGTCGATACGGATTCTTCCGATCATTAATTAGAATGACCAAATCGCGTTTCATATTGACAGATGAATAGGCTACGCTCAGTTTATCAAATAGGTACGCTCAGTTTATTAAATGTCTCTTGCAAACTATGAAGAGACAATGAATCAATACACTGACATGGCGATGCTAGACTGATACTTTACACAATCCTACCGTAATTTTGTCGGATATGAGCTGCATTTTATTGATCATCAGCTAATTTCAAAATCAAAGACATACATCAATAAGAGAGAGTGGCAGTAAGATCATTTCATTTCTTTACTTGAAGATGATTGTGTGATTGTGAAGATGATTAAGCATCTGTGACTTACTTTCACTTTTATTTGCGATGTTTGCACGTTGGCTTGATGAATAGACGCTCAGCTGCTCATCTGCGGTGATGCGTGTTGCAGTAGCGCCGTCATATCTAACTATAACATGTCATATAGCCTATATAACACACTCTGACTCATTTATTTTTTGGCATTTTTGGGAGGAGTAAAATATACATATGTGGTTTCAACAACCAGATTGCGTTTACACCTAGTAAAGATCTGAACACAATGCGAACCAGACTACATCCAGATGGTCAGGCAGATCCGATCACAACGTATTTACACCTTGCATTAACATGCCTTTTTTATTATCCGGATAACTTATCTAGATACAGATCGCATTTTAATACCAGGTGTAAATGGGGTCTCAGATACGAGACCGGCGAGAAACTTCACGAGACCGGCGAGATGCCTCCACTGGGCGGGGAGATACGCTGCGTAATTGACAGATTTGAAAGCAAATGGAAATACGTGGAAATCAGATGACGTGATTTCACAACTTTTCATTGGTCATTTAGATAATGTGAAGCATGCTGTATACGGAAATGAACCTGGACATTCTATCCGTCAAAAAATCTCAAAATCGGCAAAATGGACATACACAGTTTTCATCGGACAGCGACTCTATATATATATATATATATATATATATATAGTAGTGTTTGAATAAAGGGGGGCAATCTTTCACAATCAACTGTTGTTGTGGGCTATATACTGGAGGTATATTTTTATGGAATGCCAAAGCTGACTAAATTAAAAATAAATAAATACATAAATAAATATACGAAGAAATGTAAAAAAGCAAAAATACATAAATAAATACATAAATAAATATACAAAGAAATGTAAAAAAGTGCATATAAATGAGTATTTATACTTTTATTTCCATATTTATGTATAATTGTATTTTTCCACACATTTATTTATTTATACATTTATTCATTTATTTATTTCAACTTTTATTTATTTCCACATTTATTTCAGTATTTATGTTTTTATGTCTACATTTCTTTATTTTCACATTTCTTTATTTCTATATTTATTTATTTTCACATTTCATCATTTCCACATTTATTTATTCCAACATTTCTTTCTCCGTATGTTAATGAGGGGGGCGTGTTTTAGCAATCGAGCTCAGAGTGGCAGTTCTGAAGCTTTGAAGCGGTTTCCATCCGCGTTTCCTAATTTCGTATGCATAACAGATGACAATTCAAATGTTTAAAACAAAACCCATCGATGCTGCTCAGATACTGATAATCACAAGGCAAGACATAGCCTACATTTTGAATTATTCTAAAATCAAACGCAGCCAGCCACGCTTCTCACGCCATGCATTCTGTATTAAGATTATGACTTTTAATGACTTTTGTTAATTTGATTTTACTGATAACAACCATAGTGCCTTATTATTATTAACTGAGTAGTTTATCGATTAATATTAAGAACTTGACATGATGATGTACAGCCTAGCCTACCTATTAATAAGGTTTGGGTTGATATAAAATCAATTTACAGGGGGAAATATCACCACGACCACGGGCACGACCGGTGCTGTTTGAATGAGCAGGATGCTTCTGTGCTCCAATGCATGGCGTGAGATGCGTGGCTCACTGCGTTTAAAGGGTTAGTTCACCCAAAAATGAAAATTAAGTCATTAATTACTCACCCTCATGCTGTACCAACCCCGTAAGACCTTCGTTCATCTTCGGAACACAAATAAAGATATTTTTGATTGAATCTGAGAGCTAGATCACTCTTCCATAGAATGCCTAAGGGACTGGCTCTTGACGGCCCATAAAGTCATTAAAGAAAAGGTTTAAATATTCCATGTGCCTACAGCGGCTCAATTATAAGTTTATCAAGCGACGAGACTACTTTTTGTGCGAAAAAAACATAAATAACGACTTTATTCCACTATTCCATTACTTCCTTATGGGCGCATGCGCGAGAACTGAGACGAGGACGTTCTCATTCGTCTACTTCTTGTTACCGGCTGCTCACCGCTTAGGAGTTTTACCGCCCCCTACCGTATAAGATGATGTGCTGATATAGCTGGAAGTGCAAAACTTTCTGTTTACAAGCAGAGGAAGATGCGCGCTGTACATACGCTTTTCAATTTGCGTATTTTCAGCACTATAAGGTGCACTTAAAAGCCTTTAATCTTCTCAAAAAACGACAGTGTTCCTTATAATCAGGAGCGCCATATATGTGGATCATCATTTTATACGGTAGGTGGCGGTAAAACTCCTAACTCCTGTGTGTGTGTGTGTGTGTGTGTGTGTGTGTGTGTGTGTGTGTTTGTCCGTCCGCCCGCCACCACTGAAGACCATTTTTGACCCAGGAAAAACCCTGACGTGGCAGTTATAAGATCTCCCTTAAAGGTGCTGTATGCGATTTTTACCGGCCTCTAGCGGTGATGTTTCAGAATGCAACAAGAGCGCTCGTGCTCGTGTGCATGCTAGATCTCAAGAGCGAGCAGTCACTACTGGCCACACAGAGACTTTCAACGCAACGGCGAAATAATCACACAACATGAAACTAATGTAAACTCCCACTGAAAGTACAATAATAGCCTACTTTTATCAGCTTGACGTTGAACTGATGCTCTGTGCTCATACCATGATAATGTTACAATAAACTGCATTTAGCCGACATGTGGTGTTATAAGCCATTTCACTAACTATTTTCGTGTATCTTTCACAATCAGCAATGTCAACACAGGTGAATGTATAATATGATAACGAAAACGGTTAGTGAACTAAACTGAACAGTTTCAGTGTATCGGTAAGATCGTAGGAAGTAACATTACTGTACTGAACGTGTCTGGAAATGTGTATTATAAACAATATGATAGTAGTGGGATGAGTGATGTTAGTCAGTAGATCTAGTAAATAAAATAAGTTACATCCTAAAGCACCTACTTTTTGTTATTCTGGAACATTCTTTTGTATTCATGTCATGTTTCATGTAGTTTACCTTGCTATTTCACTAGAGTTTACTATGTTGATCCGCGTTTTCGCCCGGAGTCGATCAGATTCACGTTTTGCCTGACGAGCTTGGGCACATAAAACTTTTTTGTTTTTTATATTTATGTGGAGGTTGTGTTGTGCTGGAGGCATGACGTTTTGGGCTGTTATCAGACTCCATGTCGTCAGCTGAAGTGCCGTTGGTCGCATGGTTGATTGTATAGAGACTGGATAGAAACATGGTTGACTGGATAGAGAGGCTCGGGAGCGCGCATGCACGTCACATCTGATGGATTTTTTAAGGAAATCCGACCCGGAGACCTCACTTATAAATATGAATATTGGCCTTCAGACATAATAGCAAAACCCGAAAAGTGGATCATTGCAGTGATTACAATGTGAAAGGATTCATTTTATTAAAAAAGTTACATATAGAACCTTTAATTAGATGGGTATTTTGTGTTTGTTTGTATTACTCAAGAGTTCTCCAAAGAAGACATGGCAAAGAGCCTACTGCACATGATAAGCAATGATATTGGACAGCTGGCCTGCCTCTACGCCAAACTGCATAACCTTACCAGAGTCTATTTCGGAGGATTCTTCATTCGAGGACACCCCGTCACCATGCACACCATCACCTATAGCATCAACTTCTTCACTAAGGTCTCCAACCATCACTTTTAAATGCTCATAAGCTGTTTAATAACATATCGATAATGATTAAATGGCTTGCTGGAAAACGTAATGAGGTCAAATGTGCCATTCTGTCAAATATTTTGTTTATTTGATCATTGTCCCAGGCAACTGTGATTTCTATTCTATAATATATAGTTTAATGTGTCTCTTATTACTCTCTTTTATTTCTTATTGTATAATACAACAATAACTACATTTTATTTTTCATTTTCATATTCAAGATATAAATCTCATTACATCCTGCTATGTTTTTCTGTGGATATTTTGGATAAAGAATTGGATTTATTTGTAGGGGGAGGTCCAGGCTTTGTTTCTAAGACATGAAGGATATCTTGGTGCTATTGGGGCCTTTTTGAAGGGGGCTGAAGAAGACAGTAAGTTATTGTCATAAGTACACAACCAAACTGTTTAGTACTTTCTGGAGAGAGTGTAGTTTGTTTTACAGACTGTTTTTTTTTTCTTTTTTGTAGACCCTAACCAGTACAGCTGGGGAGAGAATTATGCTGGCAGCTCTGGTCTCATGAGTGTATCTCCAGAGTTAAATCCTGTGCAGCGGGCTCGTAGCGGAACGGTAAGTTGGCACAGAGAAGAAGCCCACTGTAAATTTGCCGCTGCAGTTTTTTTTTTGTTTTTTTTTCATAGACAAAGTAGATTGTAGTTGGATTTATATATTAATTGCAGTATATTTATGGATTTGGTCAACTGAGATCCATACTACTTATCCTTCATGACCTATTTTGTGTTCTCCATAATGTTCTCATTCCATCTCTTTTCTTTTTTTCTTCTCCATCCATCTTCCCCATCTATTCCATAACCTTTTTCCTCAGTTTTCAGTAAGTACTTTCCCATCCAGCCTTTTTTTTGTGTTTTCTCTGGATGCTTTCAAGAAATGCTCAACCTTTAGTTGTTCTGCCAATCAGTGGTAGGATTATTATATAAAAATACAAGAGTATCTTAAAGGGTTAGTTCACCCAAAAATGAAAATTAAGTCATTAATTACTCACCCTCATGCTGTACCAACCCCGTAAGACCTTCGTTCATCTTCGGAACACAAATAAAGATATTTTTGATTGAATCTGAGAGCTAGATCACTCTTCCATAGAATGCCTAAGGGACTGGCTCTTGACGGCCCATAAAGTCATTAAATAAAAGGTTTAAATATTCCATGTGCCTACAGCGGCTCAATTATACGTTTATCATGCGCCCATAAGGAAGTAATGAAATAGTGGAATAAAGTCGTTATTTATGTTTTTTTCGCACAAAAAGTAGTCTCGTCGCTTGATAAACTTATAATTGAGCCGCTGTAGGCACATGGAATATTTAAACCTTTTCTTTAATGACTTTATGGGCCGTCAAGAGCCAGTCCCTTAGGCATTCTATGGAAGAGTGATCTAGCTCTCAGATTCAATCAAAAATATCTTTATTTGTGTTCCGAAGATGAACGAAGGTCTTACGGGGTTGGAACAGCATGGGGGTGAGTAATTAATGACTTAATTTTCATTTTTGGGTGAACTAACCCTTTAAGGTTATTTATCATTATTAATATGTGTGTGCTGCCATGGATATTACTCAGTGTGATGCATTTGGTTTTCATTAATGCAAATGGTGCAACTTAACAAGTAATATATAAGAACTCTCCATCTTGTATGTTTGACAGTTGCTGCAGTGGGAAATGTTATAAAGGCGGCATTTTGATCACACTGTTAGGACCCGTTCACACAGAACTTGTTTTTGCACTGTTTAAAAAAATGCTTTCCAACTCAAACATGCGTTAGATCGACGTATTTGACCATTGCGCCTCTTGTCATTGCTGCTTTTTCACTGTTGCATGCATCTGTGCCATGTTTTTAAATGCAGAGCTAAGTTTAGCTGTTAAACACATTTCAAGACGCTGCCTTCTTTTCCATTTAGCAGCACTGTGGTTCAACACTGTGGTTCTGCATTGTGCAATACTGTTTTGTTGTCTCTGTGAACAGCACAGGAGGACACTGTGGTTTACCATGTCAAAGGCTTTTTGTAAGTCCAAAACCACAGCACCCACCTTGCCCCCTCCGTGCCCCCTCCGTCCAAGCTGGCCTTTATATTTTCCATCAGATAGCAGAAGGCTGCGTCGGTGGAATGATTGCGTCTAAAGCCGAACTGCATGGGGTGCAACAAATTATTCCGGTCGAGGCGATCGGTTAGCTGCTCTATGATGGCTTTCTCGAGAATTTTAGATACTACAGGCATTATGCTAATAGGCCTGTAGTTGCTTATTTCATTTTTACCTGCAGATTTGTATATTGGGATTATAACTGCAGTTTTAAATACAATGGGAAAGATACTCTCATCAATAGATTTATTCAAGATATATGTAATAACTGGTGTTAAAATATCCCTATGTTTTTTAATGAAAGAGCTATCAATGCCCCAAAAGTCTTTTGCTTTTGAATTTGATAAGGATTTGAGTATTATTTTATCCTTTTTTAGAACCATCAATGCTTTTAAAACATAAAGCTTCATGATCGCTAACAGGTGGCTGAGGTAATAAACAAGGAGACAATCCAGAGGCATCTTGGATAATTTCATTCACTGAGTCAATAAAATAATCATTAAAATGGTTTGAAACTATTTGTCTATGGTGGTTTTCATCATTTATTTTCAGCTCTATTATTCCGCTCTTAGTTTGCTCCTTTCCAGTTAATTTATCTGTAGTTTGCCAAAGTTCTTTAGAGTTGCCCTTAGCTTGTTTAATTAAATTCAGATAAAACATTGACTACGTTTACATGCAGCCAATTGGTCGGGTTAAAGTCACTCTTCGGGTTTCTGAAACATTAGGAGTTACCCATTTACATGCGTGAGCAGAGAGCGTTTCTCCTGTATACATGTAATTGCAATATCGCGATGTAAACAGTGACGGGCGGTTCGCGTCTAGACGTACGGACAACCTTAAGACGCAATATGTGTCATTTCCGATTCTTCTTCCTGTATCCAAAGACAACAACAACAACAGCAGCACGCGGATAATGAATAGTTTGGGGCAGATAGTGATCACCTTTGTTTGTGCTTTGATGCTGGTAACGTTACTGAGCTCTCTCCAAAAGTATGCTGTGCTGCATCTCGCCATGTTTACTTCTGGTATACTGCACGCGGATTTTTGTATGCGCAGAGAAGTTTCTCTACTCAAAAGACCAAGATTCCTTGCGAATAGAACATGTGCAGAACACAAATCACTATGGGGATATGCCGATACGCGTTTACATGACCAAAAATTCAGGTTAGAAAAGGGGTACCCCAGGTATAATATCCCGGTTTTTAAAATCCGGGATATGAGCATATTCGGGTTTTTGCCGTTGTTTACATGGCCGTTCGCGACCGGGTTATAGCTAACATCCCGGTTTTGAACGGGTTATTAGCTGCATGTAAACGTAGTCATTGTTTTTGCTTGTCTTAGCTGTTGACTTTATTTGAGGATTTGATATTTGGCGTGGTTTACGAATGCCCGAAGCCATATTATTAGGTGCTACGAATGTCTATCAAATGCGCCTGTACGTAGCTCATAGCCAATCGGGTCAATGATACCAGATGACGTATGTAGAGCAACAGAAAATTAGACGAGGAAAAAGACGATGGGTCAGAGATTTAGGAGATTTAACGTAAAACTTCAAATAATAGCTGAGTCCCAAATAGACGCCTGTCTCTTTTTCACGCCTGGTGTGACTGCAGGTTTGGGTAAATAAAAGCCGGTTTCTGGTTGTTAATCTTCTAAAACCGTCAGATCGTCCGCTTTTTGGCAGCCGCCAAAGAAACTTTTTGTCCCGCCAAAGCCTATTTTGATCAGTGAGTGATGTAGAATAGAATGACTGCTGCACTTGACAGGGCGCATAACGAGCAGAGAGAGCGAGAGCGAGAGTGCGCCTGCACTCTCACATCTTGAAACACGAGTGCTGTCTAGCTTCTTTCTCCCTCACACATATTAATCAAATCAATTGACACGAAAGTAAAAGGTTGAAAGACCGCAGTTTCACGTGGAGCATTAGAGATTAGAGACTCAATGAACAACATCTCAACACTAAATTATTAAGGCTGGTTTCATATAGACGCCTGTCTCAAATACAAGCCGGTGCAGTTTGACGATTTGGGAAAATAAAAGCCCAGGCTATTTTTTTTAAGTTTTATGGTATGTATACACAAAGGCTGTATCAAAAGGTAGCTTCGCTGCCAAGATGGATCCATACATATAAACAAACTGCTTTGGTTTCGCATAGACGTCGTCATCATCTTGCTGTTCCCTTCCCGTTCTGTGATTGGTTCCCTATCTCAGGGGAAAATTTGGTTCATGGTGTCCAGGCTGCCTAGCAGCGTGAATAAAGTCGCGCTGCGGCAAGGCAGCATGGGGAAACCCAGGCTACAACAACTACATAAATGTATCCTCTAACCGTTCAGAAACATCTAGTGTCATTCTAAAAGTTGTAACTTCTTCCTGAGTCTCTACATCTGTGTCCGACTCTGGTTCGAACATGTATGGCTGAACACCGCTACTGACAATGGGCTATATGCACGCATAAGTTCCGCATTTGACGTAAGGATGCTCGTCCATTTCCGGTTGTGTAGATTAAAGCGGAGGAAAACCGGAGAAAACGGGATTATGGCAGAGTCTTCAATATTTACTGTCCTCGCGTCTTTGAAACGAAACGTACATACGTTTAGATGTAATTTTATATATAGTTATGTTTATTTAAAATAATTTTAAAAAGAAGCATAAACACAACGAGGGTTGTCTGTTTTATCTGTTTTTGTGACTAACGTTTCATTAGTATAACCATGGAGTATAAAATTCAATATAAATTCTCGGTATTGCATTGGACTCTATGATCGGCGGAAGTTATCGAGCATCCCTAATGCTTCACCGGAAATAACGCCGTGCATAGAGCCCATTTCTGACATTTTGGCTGCGTGACATTCTCCAGTTTTGTTGTAGCCAAGAGTATCTGAAGCATAGATATCCACAATAAAGGCTAGATATCTCATCCACGCTGCTGGCCAATGGAGGTCGACGTCTGCACCTGGCGGCCATCTTGTCACAGGCAGCTCGCTCACTCGTAACATTGTGTTTTAATGGTGCATGTACTTTTTAAATAACCATAACTTGCTCAATTTTCTACCAATTTTCAAACGGTTTGGTTTGTTTTAAACATCAAAGATGTAGTTATGACACTGCATACTTATGAATAATAAGTGTATTAATAAATAATCATCCAGAATTATAGCCACGTTAATAAAGTTTGCAAGAAACCAAACCGTTTGTAAATCCATCAAGATTTCAACGAGATAAGAGTGTTTGTGTTCGTGCTAATCACTCATCTTACATCAGCTTGCCTGTGACAAGATGGCCGCCGGTGATGACGATAAAAATTCCGCCGTAAGACATCTAGCCTTTATTGTGGATATCTATGATCTGAAGCACAAGCTGTAAAGGCTCCGCCCTCTTCTGGAAAGGGAGTTTAAAGAAACACACAAATCGGCTTGTTTTTGCTCACCCAAATAGGGGCAAATTTGACAAGCTATAATGAATGACCTGTGGGGTATTTTGAGCTGAAACTTTACAGATGCATTCTAGGGACATCATAGAATTTATATTACTTATGAAAAGTGGCATAATGGGCTCTATGCACGGCGTTATTTCCGGTGAAGCATTAGGGATGCTCGATAACTTCCGCCGATCATAGAGTCCAATGCAATACCGAGAATTTATATTGAATTTTATACTCCATGGTTATACTAATGAAACGTTAGTCACAAAAACAGATAAAACAGACACCCCTCGTTGTGTTTATGCTTCTTTTTAAAATTATATTAAATAAACATAACTATATATAAAATTACATCTAAACGTATGTACGTTTCGTTTCAAAGACGGGAGGAGAGTAAATATTGAAGACTCTGCCATAATCCCGTTTTCTCCGGTTTTCCTCCGCTTTAATCTACACAACCGGAAATGGACGAGCATCCTTACGTCAAATGCGGAACTTATGCGTGCATATAGCCCATAGGTCCCCTTTAAAGGCCAGAAGTAAAATCTGTTGTGAACCCAAGATCAATGTATTTTCCTGTTTAATTCTACAACATAAAGTACATCAGTAATACTCCCTGTGATTTATTTTAATGTATTTAATTACTTATGATGGTGGCTAAAAAGTGAAGGAAGTGAAAAACTAGGAAGTAGCTAAATGGGACTACACTGGTTGTTGAGGACATTAAAGTCTGCATGAAACAGAAGTTGCGATAGTCTTTTCTTCACTGTGACAAAAAAATATAGCATGGGACTTGATTTTGTCTATCGGGAATTGATTGGGTTGTTATCTTTTGCTATTGCGGGTGACAAAAAAGATTTGTCAATTTTGATTTCATGGTGACTTTAAACATCACTGAACAGGAAAACTCATTGACTCACTAGTTTGCTTTCACAGCCTTGTTGTGTTTTATGATTATGCTCTTGGAATCTATTCTAACTCAGACTTTCAGGTTTTTTTTTTTTTTAATAAAGACTGAAAGTGTTGTTGGAAGCTGCGATTGTTTTAACCACTTTTTGGTGTCACCAGCATTTGTGTTGAGGATGTATTGCAGTTCCTTTGCAGATGAATGCACAAATTGGCATTTAGTACATTGTGGTTACTTACTTACTATTCCTACATTGTCTCCAGTTCGACATGTTGGAGATGGACCGCCTGGAGAGGCAGCTAGTGAACCTCCCCCTGCTGCAGGACCCAACCTCTTATATTCCAGACACAGTGGACTTGACTGAGGATGCTTTGTCTCGAGATTACTGGCTCTTCTGCTTTGAGGATGCATTGGATGGGGTGAGGCTTCGAGGTTAATTAAGAAAATAAGTATACAGGTCTCACAACTCATCTGAACAACAACCATCCAGTGGGATTTTCTGACCATCATGTAAAGCGACAATGTGTTTAATCTGAAACAATAATTGACCAGTATAGGGAAAAATAGCATAGCTGTGTCCTTCAATAAACAGTGTCCTTCTACAGTATATACTTCTATGAAGACATTGGTTAGCTGGTTCAGGTGTGTTTGATTAGGGTTGGAGCTAAACTCTACAGTACAGCAGCTCTCTAGGACCGAATTTTTCTACCCTTGGCTTAGACTTTCAATAGATGGACAAAAAAGAAATATTAAAAATAGCTATTTGATAGTATATGCAGCGTTTTTCCCTGTGGTATCAAAAATGGTATTAAAAATCGATACTTTTCAAGGTATCGTATCGAAGCTAGAAATTCCAGTATCGTGACAACACGCATGTAATAAATTATGTTTATATATTTTAAAGCATTGAAGGGATTGTTCACTTTGAAATTAATTTTTGATATGTTTTAGCTTACCTCAAGGGCATCCAAGATGTGGGTCTTTTTTTCCACATTATTTTCAATTTTGATATATTCTTAGGTCAAACCGTTCTTGTCTGTCAGTCATATAATGGAGGTTTATGGGGTTCACATATGGGTCCACCTGAACAAGCATGCACAGAGAAGTCCAAATTAAACATGATTTAATGACTTTAATGACTGATTTAATGATAAATGTAAGTACACATTGATGGCCTAAAACACGAAACGAGCGGTTTGAGTGAGAAAATGAACAGTATTTATATCGTTTTTGCCTCTTGTAATCACAGTCACGTCCAAGTGATTTGAAGGCATGGGAGCTTCGGTCTGCGCATGCGCTGGAAGTGATCTCTCTTGCGTGTATGTCACTCATTGTTTACACAGAGATTTCGGAAGACCATTTACCTTTCACTGTGAAGATCTTCCATTGCGATTTCCTGTATATCTAAATATGTTTAGATCTTCACAGTGAAAGGTAAAACTTCCGAAATCTCTGTGTAAATATTGAGTAACGTACACGCGAGAGAGATCATTTCCGGCACATGTGCAGACCGAAGTGCCCGTGCCTTTAGATCACTTGGACGTGACTGTGGTTACAAGAGGTAAAAGTGATATAAATACTGTTCGTTTTCCCACTCAAACTGCTCGTTTCGTGTCTTAAGTCATCAATGTGTACTTAAATTTACGAGTCATTAAATCATGTTTAATTTGGACTTCTCTGTGCATGCTTTTTCAGGTGGACCCATAGGTGAACCCCATAAACCTCCATTATATGACTGACAGACAAGAACAGTTTGACCTAAAAATATGTGATGCGATCTGGAAAAAAAAACCCACCACATGGTGAAATTTGACATATTTCAGGTTTTAATACCATATTAAAGCTGGGTTCAAGCCCTTTCCAAATCTGTTTTTATTTCTTTTATCGTTTGTCTGTAACAAAAGTTATGGTTATTTGAAGTCGTCTGATCACGCTGTGATTTTCAAAAATGGAAATTTGAGAAAAACAGGTTTAATTAACTGCCACGTCCTGCTAGCGGGATGACTGACGCTCCCTTCTTTATTGCGTTTTTTCATATCACATATTTTAGTAATCATCATAGATTAGGTATTTGAAAGCTTATGAATTCGAAATTCAACCTGTGAAAACCGTTTTAAAATTGGACAAAATTAGAGAGGCGAGCAAGATCTTTTAAACGAGCAGCTTCAAACTCTGTTGTTCTCCGCATCACACCACACGATAACGCTAGATAAAAATAAATAAATAAATAAATAACCTGTTGTAGTTCACTCAGGACTGGACTTTATTTTGTTACAGTATGTGGTTTATTTTAATAGGTGAACTGTCTTTGTAGTGTTAAGAGAAGGAGAGCTAAACGGGAGATATTGTTTTTCCGTTCCGCCTGCGTATTCTTAAAGAGAAACACAGTCTTTTCAGCTGGACATTATAAATCGCTGTTTTTCTGCAGTAAACTAGTGAATTTTCCCAAGATATACTCAGAGATGATAAACAAGATGTTATAGAATAATAATTTAATAAAAACCCAATTTTGACAAAAAAACTGACATTCAATCTATATTTAGACTTTACTGAAAACATACCAGCGCAACATCTAACAGGTTTTTCCAGATCGCATCACATATATCAAAATTGAAAATACTGTGGAAACAAAGACACCTTCATCTTGGATGCCCTTGAGGTAAGCTAAAACATATCAAAAATTAATTTCAAAGTGAACTATTCCTTTAAAGGTTTTATATGGAATTTTTCGTCTAAAATGAATCCTTTTTTTATTGCTTGTGTGTGAGGGGGTTGTAATCACATATTACAATGATCCACTAGTCAGGTTTTGCTATTACCTCTGAAGGCCAGTATTCCTATTTCTATGTGAAGTCTCCAGGTCGGATTTTCTGCGAAATCCATCGGATGTGACGTGCATGCGTGCTCCCGAACCTCTCTTTTTTATATACAGTCTATGCGAAGGCACTGCAGCTGACGACATGAGTCTGTTAACATCAAAACACTCCTGCCTCCAGCACAACACACACTCCAACACAAACTCCACAGAAATATAAAAAACAAAACAAAAATGTATCTGCTGAAGCTTCTCAGGCCAAACGTTAATCGGATCGACTTAGGACGAAGAGCGTTTGAATTATGGAGAGACCTCCGCTATTTTTATTGTGATAAATTACAAGTTTTCAGATATGCTGAAATAATGGTAAACTGTGATGAAATAGCAAGGTAAACTACAACATACATGAGACATGAAATGAATACAAAAGACTGTTCCAGGATAATAAAAAGTAGGAGCTTTAGGATGTAACTTTTATTTTATGTACTAGATCTACTGTCTAACGTCACTCATCCCACTACTATCATATTGTTTATAATACACGGTACAGTAATATTACTTCCTACGATCTTACTGTTACACTGATTCACTGATTTACACTCTAGTTCACTAACCGTTTTCATTATCATATTATACATTCACCTATGTTGACACCGATTGTGAAAGATACACGAATAGTTAGTGAAATGCCTTATGCTAGATAACACCACAAATGTAACATTATCATGGTACGAGCATGGAGCATTAGTTATAAAGCTAATAAAAGTATCCTATTATTTTAATGTTGCAGTGGGAGTTTACACGAGTTTCCAGCATGTTGTGTGATGCTTGGCCGTGTACCATGAGTGATCGCTCTTGTGTTCGAGCACATGCAAGAGCATGAGCGCTCTTGTAAAAATTGGTTGTAATCTGAAACATCACCGATAGAGGCCACTAAAAAATACATACAGCACCTTTAAATCACTATCAAATATCGCAGTTCATTTGATTCATTCCTAGCATTTTAAATGAATTATTGATTATTGAATTATTGAAACAAACAATTAATGATGGAACGGGAAGGATGGAACGGGAGATTGACAGACGGATCGGTGCAGCTTCCGCAGTAATGCGGTCGATGTACCGGTCTGTTGTGGTGAAGAAGGAGCTGAGCCGTAAGGCAAAGCTCTCGATTTACCGGTCAATCTACGTTCCTACTCTCACCTATGGTCATGAGCTTTGGGTCATGACCGAAAGGACAAGATCCCGGATACAGGCGGCTGAAATGAGCTTTCTCCACAGGGTGGCTGGGCGATCCCTTAGAGATAGGGTGAGAAGCTCGGTCACTCGGGAGGAGCTCAGAGTAGAGCCGCTGCTCCTCCACATCGAGAGGGGTCAGCTGAGGTGGCTCGGGCATCTGTTCCGGATGCCCCCTGGACGCCTTCCTGGGGAGGTGTTCCGGGCACGTCCCACTGGGTGGAGGCCCCGGGGAAGACCTAGGACACGCTGGAGAGACTATGTCTCCCGGCTGGCCTGGGAACGCCTCGGTATCCCCCCAGAACAGCTGGAGGAAGTGTCTAGGGAGAGGGAAGTCTGTGAATCTCTGTTTAGACTGCTGCCCCCGCGACCCGGCTCCGGATGAGCCGAAGTAGATGGATGGACAATTAATGATTAAAAAAATGTTCATGTTTCAAGATCGGTTCCTGTGCATTTTCTGGATTCGATGCATCAAGTAAACTAGTGAATCATTACACTCCTTGAAAACACTGAAATATATACATTGTCAGTATTCTGTGCTTGCCCTGTAAAATTGAAGCCTGCAACTGACCTTGACCTTTAAATACATTTAAAAATCTGAATTGTTAAAGAGAGAATCGTGAAGCGTTTTTTTTCTCCCACCCCAAATATGTAGATAGATATGTAGTTCCTCGACACTCTAAAACTAAGAATAAAATTTACATATTTATATTGCCATGCACCCCCACTGTGAAGCTACTGAACTGTCCCTCCCAACCCCCATATCTGTGATCGAGCATCTGAGGCTGACTACTAAAAAACAATCCTTCATTGATTGAAGAATTAAAATAGAATCTTTTGCTTGATGATTTAGCTGCTTCCTTTTACTATGCCAGCTTTTTTCTAAGCAAAATGAAGGGGAAATTCACACTCATGTTCCTTGTCGCTTGATAATTCAATTCCACAGTCAGGGATCCTGGGATCCTTACAACTCTCTTTCTACAAACACTTTCTGGATAGCGAACACCATGATATTTTTTCGTTTTTCTTTTCAGAACTGATGTTTGTTGATATTCTGATTAGAATGCTATAAAATGTGAATTTATTCATACCATGGATTATATTTGTTGCTTTGTGTAAAATGGAAATGCATTGTAATTGTAGCCTATACATGTAAGCACAAAACATTTTGGTGTATAATTAATCAGTGTGGTTTAGAACTGCAGGAGACATACAATCTCTCTGCATTAATAAAACAAACAAAAAAACCAAAAAAAAAAAAACGAACAGTAGCCTGTGTTTGGGATTTAAACCTGTGTCATTGACATTGTTGGCCAATGCTCTACCACTCGACTACCAATTAACTTTCTGTGAAATGCCCTGAAGTTCCCTTTTCCAGCAGTAACCATCGTGTCCGAGCACGCTAGAGAGAAGCGCTCTTCATTCATCTCATTCAGCAATAGTAAAAATATCACTGTTCCACCTCCTCCTTTTATTTATTTTCTGGCATAATTGTACAGTTTGTTGGCAGACTGATCTCATGAAGTAGCGTGTGTATGACACGCCAATTCGTATTTCCATTTTTGGCGTGCTATCAACACGCATAATCGCTTTTCAGCGTGTTTATGAACGCCGTTGACTTAATATTATTTCTGTATATATAAATATTTGACTTACCTCAACCCCGTCCCTAAACCTAACCGTCACTGGGGTTAATGGCATTTATGACTGTTCCCTTATCATCCTAGGAAAGAAAAACATAGCTCCCCAGATGTAGATGTACATTTTGCTTTGTTTTGGTCGGACATTTGACGGCGTGTACGGACACGCGGAATGACGCGGACGTTAATGGCATAGACATGCACGCATGCACGCGGATAGCTCAAAATGCGTCGCGATAACACGCCACTTGACTCGAAATTGGCGTGTATGTTTATGCAAAAGTCATGATGTCATGTTGTTGTTGGGATGGAAGCTCCAGAACTGCAACTGACTGAATCCATGACTTAATCTTGTTATTTTGAACAGGTGGTGAAGCGAGCTGTGGCTAGCCAGAAAGACCAACCAGAGGCTGTGGAGAGGGCAGAAAAGTTTCGGCAGAAATACTGTCACAAACTCCAGACTCTTCGGCACCAGCCTTTGTAAGAGCATCATGAACCTAAAGCCTCTCCTCATTCTTCTGCTTGACTGTATTTGTGGCTTAATGTTCAACAAGATCTTAGTAGAAATTAGGATGTTTTATTAGTTACAGTCTTGTAGTGTGTGTGTGTGTGTGTGTGTGTGTGTGCGCTTGCTAGATGAGTGTTTTCTCTTCTAATGTAGCTTGCCTCTCCTCTCATCTTTAGTGCTTATGGATCCCTCACCGTCAGAAGTCTTTTAGACACAAGAGAACACTGTTTAAACGAGTTCAACTTTCCTGACCCCTACTCTAAGGTTTACATTGAATCATCCTTCACCTTGCCTTTGGTTATTCAAATCACATCAGTTCCCCACAATCTGTTAAATTAAATCTTGGAAACATATTTTTCTGTCATGAGATTGTTTAAATCTCTATACTTGTGCATCTGTTTGTCTTATATTCCAGTGGTTAAACCATTATTTTGGATGAGTGTTTTTTTTTAGTTGTTAGTGGCTGAATTATCTGATTCAGTCTGAATCTCTTGTTTTCCTGTAGATCAAGCAGAAAGAGAATGACATGGCCCTGAAATACTATCTGAAGGTGGTGAAGTCAGTAGAGGAACTGAGCTGGGAGCAAAGACAGTTCACTTTGGTCAAAGGCCTCCTGGCCGGCAACGTTTTCGACTGGGGAGCCAAAGCTGTGTCAGAGTGAGTGTACTAACAAATATGCCAGTTTTTTTTTTTTTTTTTTTGTTTTTTTTTTGGAGGAGGTATATTCATAGCTTTATTTGTTTTTCAGTGTGCTTGAATCAGATCCAGACTTTGGGTTTGAACAAGCAAAACAACAATTACAAGGTATGAAAACTTTCTGATAAATAATAAACTTATAAAAAAGGTTTGTTCTGTACTGGTCAAAAGTTTCGAATAATTGGAATTTATTTGATCAAAAATACACTTAAAAACAATAATATTATTACAATATTATTATTAAATATGATTACATTCAAAAGAACAGTTGTCCATTTTAATCTATTAAAATGTAATTTATTGCTGTGATGGCAGAGATTATTTTTCAAGGTTTTTCCTGGATCAAAAAGTAAAGAAAAAGTAAATCCACAATAAATGCAAAAAAAAAAAGTTTGCAATATTAACTTAACCTATTTTTTCATGAAATAAAAAAAAAAAAATCAAGGTCGGGACAGATCATAAAACAAAGTTCTTAGAACTATCTGTAAATGTAAAACGTCACTGAGTGATTTGAAGGTTTATAATAAAATGAACAAAGTAACACATTACATAGAAAAAGTGGCAGGTTTAATATTTTGCATTCACACTCCAAGATTTAATCCACAGATCATTTGACATACAGTATCAGATTGGTGTATTTCGTCCATTGCTCAGGTTATGGTAAATGGACTGCATTTATATAGCGCTTTCATAGACCCAATGGTCAACAAAGCGCTTTACATTTGCCTCACATTCACCCACATTCACTCACTCATTCATACACCGACGGTGGTGTCAGCCATGCAAGGCGCCATCCAGCTCGTTAGCTGGGGTTAGCTGGGGTTAGGTGTCTTGCTCATGGACACCTCGACACTTGGTCAGGTGGAACCGGGGATTGAACCACCAACCTTTCGGTTAAAAGACAATCTACATGAACTAGAGACCTGCACGGGACACAATTTTCAGACCTGCTCCCGCAGTGTTCAGTCCCGCTCCCGCAAAGATTTGTCATTTTTAGACCCGCTCCCGCCCGCATCTGTGATATAATGCCCCGCTCCCGCCCGCACTTTCTGACGAAAGGTCTTGGCCCTGGGGAAAAAAAATGCGTGCTCACAAAATTCCTTACCAATACTTGTTAACATATTTATTGGTAAGCCTGCATAATCAACCATACAAAACATTAAACAGGCATCAGTAACGAACGCCAACAAAGATAAACATTAATCGGCCCAAATTCCATTAGGCTTAACATGCAACAAAAAAAAATATATATATATATTCGATTAGGTAATATTATTATCTATCTGATATATATAATTCGATAATGCTCCTGTCACATTATAGGCTAGCCATGAACTAAAACATTGCGACTAAAAAACTATTTGGGCTTTGAGCCGCTCAGTGCAGGTGTTAAACTGAAAATAGCCTGTGTGCCTACCTTTTAATTTTAATAATAATAATAATAATATAATAATAATATGAATATGAATAGAATAATATGAATAATAATAATAATAAGAAGAAGAAAAAAAAACTCAGCAGGTCGCTACCAGCATGTCTAAATGAAAATGATCAAAATAAAGGTAAAAGAAGCAGATAATGTTCCTGTCACATTATAGGCTAGCCATGAACTAAAACATTGTGACTAAAAAACTATGTGGGCTTTGAGCCGCTCAGTGAAGGTGTTAAACTGAAAATAGCCTGTGTGCCTACCTTTTAATTTTAATAATAGACTAATAATATGAACATGAATAATAGGCCTGAATAATAATAATAATAAGAAGAAGAAAAATAAAAACTCAGCAGGTCGCTAGCATGTCTAAATGAAAATTATCAAAATAAAGGTAAAAGAAGCAGATAATGTTCCTGTCACATCATAGGCTAGCCATTAACTAAAATGTTGAGACTAAAAAAAACGTTTTATGCTTTGAGCCACTCAGTGCAGGTGTTAAACTGAAAATAGCCTGTGTACCTACCTTTTAATTTTAATAATAATAATATGAATATGAATAATAAGAATAAAATTAAAAACTCAGCAGGTCGCTACCAGCATTTCTAAATGAAAATGATCAAAATAAAGGTATGGAAGCAGCTGCTGCTTAGGATATCGGGTTCTTTGAATAACCATGAAGGAAAAGTAGGTTGTTTACTGATGAGGGCTTCAGCCCACTGCGTCTTTGCTCCAGTATGCGCCCACAAATGCTGAAAGCCCGTTCGGACGGTGCGCTGGAGGCTGGGACACATAGTACGTGGCGTGCCAGTTTGGAAAGTGTGGGAAATTCAAAGCAATGTTTCTTCCACCACGGAAGGATATCTTTGGGTTGGTGTGATTCGGATACATCCAGTTTCACTTTCAAGTACTCCACTATCTCGGAATCTACAGACTTCTGCGAGTCAGTACACGTAGCACCTGCATCTTCCCATTCTTCAAAATCACGAAATGTCACCTTTTTAAGAGGTGGCTCAGAATTTTCCTCAGCTTGGACATGAAACCCCAAGTCCTCAATCAGCTCTTTCACAGCTTCAGTCACATATTGTCTTTCATTTTCATCGACCATCTTAAGCTGACGCAGTTTCGGAGTCAGGAATGTTGCTACTTTATAGAGCATGTTAATTCCATTTGGCGCAAGGTTACTTAGAGACAACAGTTCGTCTAGGCGTTGTACACAAGCAGATGCGATAGAATTGAGTAGGGGGTCAGCCTTGGCCACTTAACAATGCTCTCTTAACTTCACGGACCAAGGCAGAACAAGCGCCGCACTTAATGCTGTATTGTCCGACTCCAGGTCATTCGTTGCGTCTTTGAAGGGTTTGAGAAATGCCACAAGGGATCCAAGAGTGTTTTTATTGATACAGCCTATTTTATCATACTGCTTATTGTCCAGCAGTATTGTTGTGACCTCATCATACTGCTGTGAGACAGAATCCAGCATGTCCACAGTCGAATTCCATCGCGTCTCCACCGACTGTTTGAGAGACTTCCCCAGCTTGACTTGCAGACCAGAATGTTTAAAATAGCTGACCAGTTTCTTCACGTTGGTGATAAGCTGGGCCGCTTCGGGGACTTGGTTCATCACAGCAGGTGAGAGAGCATGTGCGAGAACTGAATTCAGTACATGTGCACTACAGTTCAGTCTAGTGAACCCACGTAAAGAGGCCACCATGTTAGCTCCTCTATCCGTGACAAAAACAATTTTCTTTCCCAAAAGCGAACAATCAATTCCAAAGACTCTTAAGTTCTGAAATAATAAAGCCCGAATATTTTCACCTGTCTTTGGAGTGCATTCTTCAAATGGGGCTGAAAACAGCACTCTAGATTGTAAATTGTAGTCTGAATCGACGTAATGTATGGTGGCTGACAGGAAAGAGGTTTTTCTATATGTCTCTGTCCAAATATCAGTTGTCACGGCACATCCATATTTCAAAATTGTCTCAGTCATGTCATCGACAACAGCCCTTCTACATCTGTGTGCCCTGTCATCTACATGGTGTGACACAGTTGTTGGATGAGGCAGAATATCTCTCACATCATATCTGCCTATTGTGGCTGCCGTGTCTACCAAATGTTGTGTCAACTGAATGAATCCCTCACCAGCAATGCTGTCATATGGACGGAGGTCAGCAGAAACATAGTCCACACATTTGTCTACCGTCTTCGCCTTTAGAGCACTTGACACTTTCGACGTGTTTCCCTTGAACTCCAACAATCTCTGTCCTTTCAAGACTGTACATACATGACGCTTCAGGCCTGATGTTCCAGATTTGTCCGTTGTATGTTAACACCTTTTGGCATTTATCGCAGCAGGCGAACGGTAGTTGATTCCCCTCTCCGTCATGCACAACCGAAAAAGACTGCCAAATGTCTGATTTGAGGTTTCGTGATTTTTTTTGTAGTAAATGTGCCTTTCTTTAGAGAAGTACTTACATCTGAAGCGCTTAGGCCTCTATCTGAAGCACTAGAGGCGCTCTGTTCCTCGTCCATGCTGTCTATTTTGAACTTGAACTAGCTTTCGAATTCGAACACGGAGCAGCGGAAAGGAATTGTCTCTAAACAAGTGTGCGACTGTGCGTGAGATTATGCCCCGCCCTACCCCGCAATATTCACAAGTTTAGGCTGCTTAAAACGTTTTTATTGCTGCCAATCAGAATCTCCCTCACAACTACAAATTATGTACGCTACTTTAATCATTTATATATTTTATTTTACACTCATATTTAATTTGCGGGAGTGCAGCGCATCATCCCTCACGACCGCACCCGCAAGTGCACCTCATCATCCCGCCCGCTCCCGCATTGAACTTTCAAAATTTCTCCCGCGCCGCACTGTTTTGCGTCGCGACCCGCGGGTCCCGCGAGACCTCTGACATGAACCACTGAGCCACTGCCGCCCTTATCTCTGTCAATCGTTTCAATCGTACATTTAAATACAGTTGTCAATCCAGAAACTTTACAATGTGTAGTTACGGTTGCAGCATGAATATACAGTGCTTAACAAATGTATTAGACTACCACCCAATGTAAGGTTTGTGGCACAGCTCACCTAAACTAACAGTATTAGTGATTACCAAAATATTTTTTTATGTTTATGTATGATGATTAATCTACCAATATGTGTAAGCTCTTTCGTTACAGTTGGCCAAGTTAAAGTCCAGACTTGAATCCTATTGAACAAATTTGTGATTTAGTGGGTTCAAAGAAAGATTGCACAAAAGTTTCATTAAAAGTCTTTGCGAACAATTAGAGACTTTTTTAAGTCAATAACAACAGAGAATGTGAAAAAGTACAGTATATAACATGCCAGCAAGAATCAAAGCTGTTATCAAGGTCAAAGGACGGTGTACAAAATATTATGTTTTTTGGTCATGTTTGCATAAAGACTATTTAGTTGTTTCAGTTATTTGCCTTATAAATGACAATGCAGTTTTTCGTTTTAAACCAGTTTTTGACAGACTCTCTCTCTCTCTCTCTCTCTCTCTCTCTCTCTCTCTCTCTCTCTCTCTCTCTCTATATATATATATATATATTGGTTATATAACATAAATTATATATTAGGGGTGGAGCCGAACCCGGTATTCGGAAAGGCACAAATAATGTGTTTTTTTACGAATACTTATTTCGAACAAATACTT